ATCTGGCCCAGTTAGACCAAGCCACAATCGAGCCCAAGATTATTAGCATCATAGGAATCAGAGATTTATTAGATTGAGTAGATCCATTAACAGGGGCAGGATATATTCCCTCTCTGGAGGACATAGATATTTAACTGATAACACTCTCCATTATATATGCAAAGACTGATTATAATGATTTTTCCCCTTTAAAGAAGCAGTTTTAGAGCCGACTCCAAAGCCCACTGAAATCGATGGAAAGGCTCCCAGTGACTTTGATGGGCACTGGATCAACATTAGTGAGAAATCATTGTTAATGTAATGAGTGCAGCTTGTGTGCAGCAATTTTTGCCAGTTTATGGCTTAAATCTGCAGCTTTTGATATACACTGAAAAGGAAAAAAAAATGATGATGCTAGCCAATGAGCCATGGCATCCTCTTTCTTTCTGATGTGTTGACATTTAAAGAAACTTGGAACTTAAAATTACAGCCAAATCTTCCAGTGAAGCTCCCTTAATTCAGTGGTTTGACTTATCTTCAAATCTGAACAGAAAGGAAAGCCTTTCTTTCCTAGCAGGCACCTGAACACCTGCACTAGGAAGGAACTGGCAGGTACCTTGTTCTCTCAGTACCTGGATTATTTGTGTGTTGTTTATTATATCCCTTGCTTTAGTTTTCATCAATTGTAATCATTTAGAGGGAAACGGTATGATTAGCAGCATAGAAGCAAACAGCAGGAATTAATCCTTTAAATACAAATATTTTATTGGTTATGCCACGGCTCCTCGGAAAAACAGTGGGGCAAAGAGCACAGATGAAAACCCTCTTTGAGTTTCCTCTAAAATCACTATTCATTCACAATTTGCTTAATGCAATTCTTAATGCAAGCAATTAAGAATTTAGATTTCACAATTCTGCTTAACAACACAAGTTTAACTATCAACACCCAACATGTGTCATGATTTCAGTCTGTCTTCTAACTTGGCAGGGTTCCCTACTTCAGTATAAGTCTAAAGACTACCATTGCAGTGGGCAAAGTACTTTCACTAGTTCATTTCCAAAGTATGGCTGTGCTGTACACTATTTCAGCTTCGGCAGGGCAGTACATTAAAGGCACACTCAGCAGCTAATGATTAGTTTGTAATATAGGTCCTAGAGATCATCTTCTGTTTCACAAAGGCTTTTTTCGTCTCTCTGTAGTATGAATAAGGCTAAATCCAATTTTCATTTAACTCCTGAGATAAGTCTACACTTGTTTCATTAAATACATTTCAGAAGGCAGAACGAAGTACTACAGAACAAAAGTATTATAGGTTATGTGTAAACTTATTTCTATTAAGTGTCATTAGATGGAAAAAATATTTACCAGGCATAAGACTTTCATCACATTCATAGATATCTAAGCGTGACTAGCTATCATCCTGAGTGTTCAGAATGTATAATATTGCACTAATTTGATGCAAAATGCTCAGTATAACCACAGAGCTACTATTTTCTTTCACCATTATTTTCCACCTAGAATGGCATGTTCCATTGTTTTGTATCTACCCTCTCTTATGTGGGACGTCTTTACACACTATATATCACAATGTATTTATCCTTACAATGTTTTCCATTTTCCTTTTGATGGTGGAAGTGCTGCATTATTAAACAAGCAGGACCAAATTCTATTCTTTGTTACACGGGGGTCTATGAAGTTACTCTGGAATTACATCAGTGTAACTGAGAACAGGATCTTGTCTTTGTGGCTCCTACCTGACTACCTGCAAATGTCATGCTACTGATGCAGCAACTTGAATTTTTTTTCCAAACTATTGAAATGTGAATTTGAAATGATAATCTCCTTTCTAACATGGTCCATATATGCCCTTTATGTCACACTATACCTAAGGAATCTGCTTAAAAATAGTTACACAGCAGCAGGGCTAACTTATGGCATGCCATTACATTTGCAAAATTAATTAGTTTTTTCTCCCAATATATGCCCTTCTCCCCACTCTCCTCCCTTTTTCTTGCCCTCTGAAATCTAAGGGATAGCTCGAGCATTGGCCTGCTAAACCCTGGGGTTGTGAGTTCAGTCCTTGAGGGGGCCACTTAGGGATCTGGGGCAAAATCAGTACTTGGTCCTGCTAGTGAAGGCAGGGGGCTGGACTCGATGACCTTTCGGGGTCCCTTCCAGTTCTATGAGATAGGTATATCTCCATATATTTATATTTAAAGGGGCACAATGGAAAGTTTCTCCTTGTAATGTAATATTAAGATTTCAAAAAAATACAAGTAAAATAAAATAGAACAGGTCTGATTCTGACTTAAAATGAGTTATTCCTAATTTACACCAGTGAGAAAGCAAGATTAGAATTGAAAAGTCAGATTCATCAAGCATAACTGTTTGATGGACGGAGACTTTAACATACAGGAGAAATTGCAGTGCTAAGAGACTAAAAGGTCTATGCAGATTAAACTGTTATTAGCAGCTAAACAAACTGGTTCACTAAGTAATACTAAATCTTCATTACTCAACTAGCAGACAAAAATTTAATAAACAGCCAAGGAATTTAAAACAGGCAACCTACAAATAAGCAACTGATGAGTTAATCATCCTAAATAAGGTTGCCAGTTCAAAAGTCTTCCTAACTAATTTATTCACATACTCTGTGCCTTGCTTGGCTCAGTTATTTCAATCAATAAAAGCCCCTACTTCAAGTAAACACCCTATTCTGAGTCACCACTAAATTCACGAGTAAAGCTGTGTAGTTAAACATTGAATTTTCATTCAGCCAACACCATTTAAAATTACTTGTATAATTATTATGAACACAGGAATTTTAAATGCACACAAATCCTGTGTAAAAACTGGAAAATTACAATTATGATTCAAATTTATCTGATGAAAGCTGCTATTTGCATAGATTTTGCTATGCACAACACTTAAGAATTTGAACACTATGTAATTAAAATGGTTAATTGCAAAAAGCAGTTGGTCATTAGGACTATAATTTAACAAGGTTCTCTGTATTTGACCATCTGATTTAAAAGGTTAATGCAGTGACCTAGGAAGCCACTGCACCCATTTTAATTGTGCTGGCATTTTGACCAAAGACCACTTTAAAGGAAAAAGGGGAGGAAAAATCCAAGCTCGCTTTGTGAGCCAGTATTATCTTCTAAAACCTACACAGTGAGAAATCACAAAAACAAAATCTGCCGACTTTATTCAAATATTAACAAGGTATAGTTAAAACTTTTGTACACTTATGCAAATGAGGTTGCTAGAACAAGGGAAAGAAGAGGTTCCCCTGGGAGAAAAAAATATAAAATCAACAAAGTGAAAAGATCAACCATCCTTCCACTGCATGACAGCACGACACAAGAGGCATCAGCTTGGGAATTCAGCAAGATAAATAAAAACCCTCCAAAGTTTAAGTAAATCATGGTTTATAAAGCTAATAGATTTAAATGAGGCATACAGTATCCTTCTATAAAAAGATTACATTTACCAGGGGACAGTAGCAGTATTTTGGCAGAAGTGCTAAACAGGTAAAATATGTATGATAAGGAAGGCCAGACTGAGAACCTCTGTGTATCTGTTTAAAAGTTAAAGCTCTGGTAGCCAATTTTTCTATGTGATAATTAGATATGCAGGGCTTTTCTCTGCTGCTAGATTAACACAAAGTTACAGCACTATGGCAGGTTCTCTGCATTTCAACGGGTTTAACACTGAAGGTCAAAACTTAATTTTAAGCATAATTGATTCAACACTAACCTGACCTATGAGGAAAGATTTTAAAAACTGGGCATGTTTAGTCTTGAGAAAAGAAGACTAAGGGGGGATGTGATAACAGTTTTCAAATATGCTAAGGGCTGTTATAAGGAGAATGTGATCAATTGTACTCTGTTCACTGAAAGTAGGACAAGAAGTATTGGGCTTAATCTGCAGCAAGGGAGAATTAGGTTAGATATTTGGAAAAACTTTCTAACTCTCAGGGTAAAGCTCTGGAATAGGCCTCCAAGGGAGGCTGTGGAATCCCCATCACTGAAGGTTTTTAAGAACAGGTTGGACAAACACCTGTCAGGGATGGTCTAGATTTACTTGGAGATTTACTGCCTCAGAGCAGGGGGCTGGACTTGATGACCTCTCGAGGCCTCTTCGAGGGCTATACTTCTATGATTCCCAACACTGCTCCTGAGAACTCCTCCAACATTAAGTGCTAAATTCTATCTCTTCAGCCAATGCGTGCAGTAGCAGCAGAAGGGGTGCAGTTGCCCCTGAGGGAGCTCCCAGAGCCCTTGTGCCTGAGGCAGACCTACTGCCTCCAGGAGGGCCAGGGGAATCTAGATCAGCGCAGTCTTTTGAAAAAATGCAATGCATACTTCTGTCTGCAAGTGTGGAGACAGGAACGGGGGACCCCTCACACACACACTTTGAGAAGGCTGAAATCAATGGAGCTACATCCACTTATGCCAGCAGTGAAATTGGACTGTAGTGCCTAGTTTTAACAATCTGCTACACACTACTATGCCTTTGCGGCTGTGGCTGGTCTGATTAGAATTCTATGTTCAAGTAGCACGTACATTTTGCTCTTGTACCTAGATAGGTAGGATCCCTTAACTTTTTACTTAACACTGGGGAAGGGGGGATGTCATAACGTTAGTTTAGTCTTTGTGTATTAATCATTCCCTACATTATTAATAGAGAAAAGGAAATTATTTACATAGTGCTTGATGTAGACATGTCAGTATGTAGCAATGCTACTGTCAAGAGAAATACTCATAAAGAATCATGATATCTGTCTTGTCTTATTTTATGCCAGCCAGGCTCAGAGATCCCTTTCTCCTGATAGCACCCACGGGGAGAGAGAGAAAGAGAGACTAGAAGAGTTTGCTGCTATTGCAAAGAGGGAGGGAAAACCATGGTTATGCATTGATTAAAGAAATGGTCTAAAAGCTGTGCAGTGATGAGAGGGTTATTACATACAAACAAAATAATTGCTGTCAGTTTGTATTTATTTATTTCAAAAACATACCTGAAGTTCTGTCTGAAAGAAGAACTTCTGTGGGCACTGGGAACAGTCATAAATTTTATCCTCCTGCCCGTGGACTGCAAAGATATGCTGCTGCAGTTTATTTGCCTGTACAAAAACTGAAATAATACAGTGTGATCAGAGATTAAGTTTGCTTTAGGTAACTTCTGCCCTAAATTTGCTGCACATTTATTATGGCTGTAATCCTAAAAGGTCCAATGATATTTATCAATAAATCATCAATATTTGTGTTTCAGTACAATTATCCTGCAAGAGTGGACAATATTAATAATTTAAGTTTTAAAGAATAATGTTTAGCTTAGTTATAATAGACTCTAAATATCATATCGATTTTTGAAATTCCACCATAAAGTCACTGCCATCCATTCATAATTGGATGAACCCAAATCGAAAAAAGGGTGTCACCTCTTTTGCAGGGAGCTGTGAGCCAATCATAAGTGCATGAGATTTATTTATAATGCAGGAGAATTGGACCAGTAGAGACCTAGGGGGTTAATCTAGAAGATGTGTGACCAATGCAACATTTCTGGCAGACTACAAAGGAAGTGTGAACCTGCAGATATAGTCTGTTGCAAAGACAACCTGTATAACTATTTTGTCGATATAGAATAGAAGAGATAAGTGTAACAGTATTTATGGTATTAAATCTTAAGCACTTTTATAATTTTGAACTGAAAGTAATTCTGATTTTGTCAGGTAGAGTTTGGAAATCAAGCATGCTGAGTTTATGATTTATTTGGTTAAGATAATTTCTCAGCCTACTTCACATCTCATTTAAGATCAATGTTTATGGGTTCTAGACCTATGCAATATGCAAAAGTAGCTTCTTACTAACTGAATTTAAAGAAATACTATTAAGGATTTACCAGTACTTCATAGCATGTCTCAGAGGCTAAATCTACACTACTTGGTAGGAGTGTAACTGCCCTGCTCATGTACACGTACTCATGTGAGCCTCACTGAGCGAGCACAGGTATGAACAGCAGTGTAGCTGCGGTAGCATGGGCAGCGGAGACATGGCTTAGCCATGCAGGGTAAAAGACCTGGCTGAAACTAGTTAGTACATACTCAGCATGGCTTAGCTCCCGTGGCTACAGAAAGTACGTGTACACGAGCTGAGCTTGCAGTGTAAACATAGCCAGAAAAGGACAAATTAAGTTCAAAACTACAAATTGCAGTCTCTCAAAATGCAAATCAAATCCTGAGAGGTCATGAGCACCTGCGACTTCCACTGAAGTTAAGGGGAACTGCGGGTGCCGAGTGCCCCTCATGATTCAATCCTTTATTTTTTACTTAGCTCATAGTCACACATGTAGGAAACGAAAGACAGAAGTCATGTACACATTCAGCATTACTTTAACATTTCGCAAATACAAGTTGTTAATTGCAATTTTAAAAAGCATATAGAGCAGGTGACAACAGATCCTACAGACAGTCGCTTTAACCCAGATCATCCAAATTTGCTTTGCAGAGACAGCTTAAGGTTAACTACAAAAGATGGATAAACAGCAAGATGTTAGATATGTGCTCTACACAGAAAAAACAAGACCTGGGCATATGTATCTGAGGGCAGATTCTGGTCTTACAATGAAAAAAATGAATACAGCAGTTGTCAAAACTATACAGTTTTAGGGTTTGATCTTACCAACCCTTTACTCACATGAGTATTTCCACTGAGAACTGACTACAGGCTACTTGTGTATGTAAAAAGCACTCACATGAGTGAGGGGTGCACAGGAGCAGGTCCTTACCTCACAAGAAATGTGTTTAGAAATGTACCCAACAAATGTAATTTTAAAAGGGCTGTAATTAGCTTCTTGAGCTTGGGAACTGATAAATGGTGTCAAAAAATCACAGTGCAGTTCTTCATTCCTAGCTCCAGTTTTAGACTGGTGATATTTTAAACGTTTCCAAGCAGAGCAATTTTTCCCAAGGAATGGAATACTGTATTTTAAAAATCCCCTGTGTGTCATTTCTGGATCAAGCCATGCACACTGAGGCTTGTCTAGGTCTTACTGTCTTACCTGTGAAACAAACAGGGCATTTGAATGTGCCTCCCATCCCCTCAAAGCTGTGCTCAATCAGGTGACACAGAAGCTTTGCTGGAGAGTCAAACATCTGGTTACACAGCTTGCACTCATGATTGATGCCTTCCTCTGCAAGGTTCAAATGATACAACTTGTTAGTGACACAGCAGATTAGTGTCTGAAATGCAGCAGTCTGCTAGAAATGGTAGTGCTGGATTGCACAGCTTCAAGGACCCAAAGACATTACAATTTCTGTGTCCCTATTACAAAAGCACACACAGTCACTTGTACAATGTATTCAGGTGTACAGCCGCAAGACAAATTTAGGGGCATTTATTTTCAGCTGTGATGAAAGTGATGCTGTGATCAAACCAGCAGTAACATATACGCCTGTTTACAGGCTTGTGACAATATTGTACCTTTGCACCTTGCATCTTACCACAAAGGCAGAACATTGTTCTCTGGATATCTATTATTAAACATTCAAACAGCATTTAAAACAAATTGAACAGTGTGAATTCAACCACCACTACCAGAAAGAGTGAAATCCCATCTTCACCTCAGATTATATTGCAAGTATATAGGAGGAGAAGAGGAAACTAACAGGGAATAGCAGGAATGCAGGGCTAACTCAGCCTTCATTTTATATGTAATGCCTTTTTTAGGTTGAAGTGAGACCACTGATGGTATTTAAATGGCATTTTTAAATTGACTTTCCCTTTCATATATATTTGTTTTGAACAGACCTTTCATGGAGATGTTCTGAATACAAAGAACCTATTTAAAAATCCCCTTAAATTTTGGTTTATTAATAGATAAACTTTCACTATTATTTTTATTATTATTATTTTTACCAGCATATTAACCGAATACATTAATTTGTCATTTTTGGAGTTTTGTGCAGTTAGGACATATTGTGAGATAGTGGAACAACATTTCAAAAGACTCCCAGAAATACAAATGAAATAATCTGTATTTGGGCGGGGGGGAGGAGGGAGAGAAGCAGGGGAGATACCTGTTTTGTGCATGCCAGTAAATATGCCAACATTTTTTACAAGTGTTTTTTGTAAATACCAGCCGAAATTTTGTCTTCCCCGTTAGGACATTATATGCGAAATTCTCATGAAAATATATTTAAAAAAAATCAAGTTCTGGCCTATGAGATATGCATTACTTTATGTCTTCATCTCAAAATCTCATCTAATTTACATTTTTAGTTCCAGAATAGCAATAAGTGATTATAGTGTACTATGAAATAACCTCCTGCTAAATGTATTTGCATCCTTCAAATAATTTGAGAAAGAGCATAGAAAATCTCTGTTGATAATTGCTTTTATATTACCTTTTTATAACCTTAAAATGGCTGAACAGAGGAAAATTATTGTTTTCCATAAGGCCTCTGAAACTTAAGGAATCTCAAAGCCCTTACAAAGTAACAAGTTAAATAACAGTAGTATGGTAACAGTGAAGGCAAATGGAGCAGCCATTATGCACTTGTAAATAGCTCAGACACACACACAGCCTGCATATTAGAACCTGGCTTTTTGTTGAAAACAGGACTAGCAGGGGAGGGTTGGTGGCATGCAGCTGGAGAGAATTCCCAGAGTACATGTGTCTTAAAGGGCCCTAACCTCACCAAGAGGATATTAAAAAAAATCTGTACGTGGTGCCTTGTGCAGGAGTGAGCTACTGCCTGGGCCAGTATTAGGAGCTGTCTACGCTGCTCCAAAAACAGGTAAGCTCCCGAAGCACTTATAATTGGTGCTCTGTTCCCCATACTGCATGTGACACATACAGAGCAGAGAGCAGAATGCTGATGACAAGAAATGCTTGAGGAGAAGAGGCAGCATCAGTGAAGCATGAATGGATAGCTCCTCCCACTGAGGGGATGCCAGGCACCTCTAACATGTAGGGCACGTTTCTTTACCCTGATCTGCACTATGATCCTCTATTCATAAAATGACTGCAGAATATGCAATAAAGGCCCCCACAGTGTGCATAGCCAGTTTAGACTGGAGAGGGAAATGCTATCCTTTTTCTTTGTAATGTTTCATGGAGAAAGAAGAGGGAGATTGAGGGAAGTGGGGGAAAGACCGACAGATGGGATGGGAAGGAAGTAAAAATAGAAAAGGGAGACAGAAAGGAGGAGAGAGAAAACACTGGTGTGAGTACAGAGGCCCAGGACTTCAACTCTCCATTCTGACTACTCCAGAAATTCTCTAGACGGCCAAAACCGAGAGGTGGAATATTTGTCAGAACTCAAGGATTCTAATTTGAATTTTTTTTAATTGCTGATCTGCACAGCCACCAAAGATGGGCAGATATTTAGCATTTAAGTATGAAAATATTTTTAAAACTTCCTTTCTCCCAATCTCCTGTATTATCCAATCTGGCTTCCTAGAAGAGACTCTTGTGTGCCCAGTTTCAATCCTGTGCAAATCTGCATAGTTTAGTGATAAACCCCATGGGGAAAAAAGGCAGGGAAATGGCTTTGTGATGGAGATGCTGTAGAACCCTTAACCAAATAGCTGTGAACAACGACAATACAGTATAATAAACATGTAAAGTACAAAGCTGATACTATGGTAATAGAAAGGATTTCTTCAAATAGTAAATCAGAGAAATCATGTTTGACATTCACTTTCTAACTTCCATATACTGTATTATTCAGAAACCCATTCACCTGTGATTCATATATAGCATATGGTCCTGAGTGAGCACTCATTAGGAAAAATGTTTCCTTTGTGGCTAAATACCTATAATTTCAGCAAAATTAAAAATGTGAAATATATGTAATATTCAATATGAGACTGAAATTATATTCTCTGGGTCTTCACATGTTTAATTAGGTAACACTGATTGCATATTTTCTTGGCTGATCCCTGCAGTATTTTACATAGTTAAACCCATAACAAACTAAACCTGGAATGAAAAATAATAAAACATAATAGGTTCCTGCAGATCTGGAAATTTATCCCACTCGAGGCAAGACCTTTTGATTTGCAAATCCACTTCTGAATTATAAGGCCTTCTCCTCACCGGTGGGGTTTTGATTCCACTCCCACAGGAGTCCATTATGTATTTCTTGTGTCTATAAAACCATCCAGGAAGAAAAAATGGGGATTGGGCGGAGGGAAAGTACCCTGGTTAGCACGACAAACATTTCTCTATTCATGCATGTGTATCCTAACTATGAAAATGCCCAAAGATACAGAGAGAACTGCTGCTACAATCACTCTCTTCTCTCTGGCATTTTAATAGAATTTTACATAGAAACACAGAGTATGCATAGAGATACAGGTGTATCTTTGGAGAATAACTTTCTTGAATTATATAAGATCACATAGGCACATGTCAGACAGCTTCATGGTGACAATACAGTGTCTGACAGCCAGCACACCATTCAAGCATGTGCTGGTGGGCTCTAGTAAAAGAAAACATGCCATCATTTCCCTCATTTTTATTCCATTTTTTTAACATGACAGGCATCCATAAGAGAGTCCCACATAACTCAAGTGAATTATGCGGCCCTTCTCATTTGTAAAATAAAATGCAGATTTTTGCTGCTTGCTTTGCTAGATCTTCTCCCATTTCTCCTTAAGTGTATCTGTGTGTGGATCTATTGATTTTAACACCAATCAAGAATACATTGCAAACAAGATTCTAAGGTTTCTTTCCCTTTCCCCCCCAAGCTCAGAATAATAAGCATTAATTTTACACTTCATTTCTCAAAAAAATAATAGGATGTGCTCTTGTTTAAAACAAGCAGGCCTGCTGGATTCTGTCAGGTTGAAACTATGTCAGGCCAAAAGAGGAACAGAGTGCTTTGTGTAAAAGTATCATGGGGAGATGATAGTATCCTGTAATGTTCTCAGTACCTACTTTTGTCTCCAAAAGCATTTGATCCCTGGCAGACACATACTTATTTCCATACTGGTCTTGAGGGAAGCCAGTAGGAATGAGAGCTGATTATCTGAATCCTGAAGGTGAAACCTGGGTGGTGCCCACTGATGTCAAAGGCAGGCATTTGTATAATTTTTTAGGTACATAATTTACTGTCTGTTAGTGAGGATTAGTGGGTCGCCCCGACCCAGCTGAACTGCAGTGGTGAAGCACACAGTTTATAGTTCTTAAGTTCAAACGCATTTATGTGATAGTTCTAAATATGCTGATAGGACGCTTAATAGCATTTACACTGTCATTCTGCCCATTTTATAGTGGGAATATGCTTCTCCATAAAACTATTTCTGTTGCAGCAATGTGCATCTAATACATATTACAATGAGTGTCTAAGCCACTAAGAGAACTGACAATAGCAGCCTCCTGGCGAGGATGCAGTATAATTAATAATGCTGTATTAAACCCATGTTCTGTATCAGCTGCATTTCTAATTATAACTATATTCATGGCAATATAAAACAGTGCATTAACACTGTCATGCAATGACATGTTATCAAACCAATAACAAATGAGAGATTTGAACAATAAAGAGGCACTGTCTTTACTGTTAGTTAAAACTTCTTTCTGCAACTTGATTTAATAAAACAAAATTCTCCCTTACAGAAGAAAATAAAATAGTCCCAGACCATGTTGTGTAGAAATTTAAGACAATCTGACACTCATTCTTGATAGCAGCATGTAAATCCCACACTGCAGCTCTTCCAAAAAACACTATTATTTCTGCTTCATTGCAGCAAATTAAGGTTAAGGGGAGGCTTGCACATCCTGGAGTTACCTATACTTCTAATGAATCTTGATATAATGAAATGCAGCGTAACCAAACATTAATGTACTATGTCACAAATCTGGTAACATTAAATGGGGCCCTGTAAGAGGTGCTTTAGTTACAGTAAAAAATAAATAGATATTAGAATAAACACATGGAAATAAATTGAGAAATGGAAGAAACTGTTGTTTATGCCATTCATTTCCAAGTAAAGCACTATTTAAAACAAACAAACACTCCAAGCCCTTTACACCATGATGTTATTTAGTAGGTGACTACAAACAGACTAGGAAAACAAATAAATGAAACAAGATCTGATAATAAAGAAAGCCCATTAGCAAACAAAGAATATAGAAGCAGTGTGAGGAAACTAACAATTTCATTCTAGACGGATGGCACTGTT